ATATATATATATATATTCCACACTTCATCATTCGATTTGTTTGAGATCTGGGACACTACCCAGGTGCCGAAACAGAAGCAGTTGGTTTTTGTAAAGGGTCACACCCGTAGCCTTCGACCGAAAGGTTTGATCCACAAGGAAGTGGAGCAACGTAAGGAGATGCAGTCCCATGGTAGATGATGGCCAACAATAGGTTCATACACCAATTGTTCTCTCAGGATTCTGGTGACCATGTGCACTATTGGTTTGGAATGACGGTTTTCCAACTCTCCTAGGTGTAATCTCTATATCCACCAGCCTGGTTAAAGCGCCGGATATTCGTTTTCTTCCTCTCGATTTCGTAAACACTGCGAGAAGGCAGTGAGTAGGACTTGCGTGACTGTGGTTGTATATGCGTGTCTATGTGGGAGAGCTAACTATCACCACCGTCAGCCGTAACAGGGCATTAGGGGGCAATTAGTAATCATTCTCTTTGTGTTTTTTACATCCCCAGAAAATATCTATACTAGGTAATTAATCTCTTTGTTATTGTTGTAAAATGTTACTATTCACTTTGAATGTGGATTTCATTACATTGTTTCCCACTTGTTTCTGTTTTGATAAGAAGCATATATTTCTAAACTTACATTTTTCAGCATACTTTCTACCTTTAATTTGTCGCTGAATTAGGTAGTGTTATCAATGAACTCACCAGATAAGGATTATTGTATTCAGCTTCAAGTCACATTAAATGTAATTGTTAGTTGTGCTACTCGGTTGTTTAAACGTAATTAGATGAAACAGAGTTTGAGCCTGGGACTTAGTGCATCAACTACGTAAACATACTTCGTTGCCTGAGAGCGTATACCTCTAGCTATGAATCAAGCCTCTATTTGTGCAAACCAGATCCTCGGGTTATTAGATCCATATGCTGGTAGTCTGAATTCAGAAATAGCTTTAACTGAACTTAAAATATTGTCGTCAGAATGTGATAGTGAGTTAAGGGCATTTACTGGAGGAGAGTCTATGTCAATAAGTTTGTTTGGAGAATACATTATTTGAAAAATAAACAGATGTGTCAAGTAAAAAGAAAAGCAATATGACAATTACAATAAACTCGAGACTTACCAGATAATTATGGTGGACCAAACAATATATGAACTCAAAAATAGTAATAAAGTTACTGCGTACAAGCAGTAATGTTATAATATATCAGTTATAAACACAATAAAAATTAAGGACGTTACTTAATTCAGCTTGTAGGACAGATATTTACAACTGATTGATCACTGTGCAGTGATGATTATCACACTGCACATTGGTAGACATAATAAGATCAACTGTAAAGGTTTAGACAAATATGATATTGAACACCACTCAGTAACTAGCCAATTATATTTAATAATAGTGTTGGCGTTGACAATTATTTATGCGTGTCGGGTGTGAAGCATTTATTCACCAAAGACAATGGAAGATGATCGCGCGACATCATGAATTAGTTGATGTTAAACATTGACACCATTAGATACTGGTTCATTGGTCTAGAGTTTGAGCGTTCACTCAAGACCGAATGTTGTGGTTTGGATTGACACGTGTAAGATGGTGGATGCGCGTTGTTGTACTGTACTATATCCTTATATGCAATCTTTCTTTCATATATTCTGACAAAACGGTCGTCCAGTGCATTCAGGTTTTCAATGATGGTTTAACATGGGTCGTTTTACGATTTCAATATAACTTTACATTCTACAAGCGATTCATTCTTATGAAGCTATATTTACGTTTAAGCACTTTAAGCATAAGACATGCCAATTGTTCTCCTTATTTATATGCAAAGAAACATAAATAAAATGAACGATTTAATGTCGTAGTATCTTCAGAGATTTTAAAGGCCTCCTACTATCGCACTCCCACTTTCCAAAATCAGGTTACTTTCAGTCACCTTCAGCAAATCTAGTCATTAATATAACAACTCTAGTCATGATTACTATCCAACAAATCAATATATCGACGTGTATGGACATGTTTAAGACACACATAGAATGTATGTCATGCCTGATAACTTGAATTTATTATTGTTCTTACTCACAGATGGCATTGTAAACAAAAGAAAACCTTGTACAACAGTGTACAAGTCAACAGACAATTTAAATAATAAAAGTACTCTACTTTAAACCATACTCATTTTTGTGTAATGGCTATTGATCCTGGGCCTGAAATTGATAAAGATAGAGTGGTATTAAAATCTACCAATTAGATAATTTTCAACCATCTAACTCTGTTCTATTTTTTGTTTTGGTTCCAGAGTAATATCATTAACTCTCATACGAAAAGAAAAAGATAGCATATTGCATACATTGCAGAAGTAATTAAAATAATAATAATAATTAAAATAATTAAAATAATAATTTAATCATTGAATTCATAAGTCAATCGAAACTAGACCATCATGGAAGATCTAGAAGCACTGGACAGCCGTTTCTTCCTAGTATGGGATTCCTCAGCAGTGCGCATCCAGCATCCCACCCTGCGAGATTCGAACTCAAGACCTATAAGTTATTTCCTGGAGTTCTGTTGAGAAGCCGTGACCAGGGGAGTTCACCTGGACCTGTTATGAGATAGTAACTCAATTAAGACAATGGTGGATTTTGGCGCAATTTCGTGGATTGGTTGAAGTTAGACATTAACACCGTTTGATGCCGGCTCAGTGGTCTAAAGGTTAAGCGTTCACGTGCGAGACTGACAGGTCCTGGATTCTAATCTCGCCGGGCTGGATGCTGGGTGCGTACTGGTGAGGAGTCCCATACTAAAATGAAAAGGCCGTCCCGAGCTTCCAGGTTTTTCATGGTGATCTAGCTTAAAATTACTCACGAATTCAATGATTAAATTAATTAAAATAACTCTCTTATCCTATGTCTAGTGACTTCTCAGAGTGGTTGTGCAATACGATCAAATTCCATATACTTTTTTTTTATATGATGTAAGTTTATAATTACCTTGGCAACGTGTAATTCTATCTTTTTTTAACCCAGTAATCGATAATATTTTGTTGTCAATCGTTTAAAACATTAAAACACAAGTATACTGACTATTATTTATTGTACATCAATAAAATATAATTAATGATGTAATCGATGGCATTAATTGTTCCATTTCACTTAGAAGTTTCATCAACTTTTGTATTTTGGTCGCAGGTGAATTCCCTATACTGATACAAAAAGAAACTCACTCATCTTTTTTTGTGGAGTTTCCTTCTTTGAGTTAAATGGTCCGATCCTAAAGGTTTTATTGCTCTTTTAAACGGTTCACCGAACGAAACTCCACCAAAAATCATCCATCTGAACTAAAAATTATCTTCATCACTCATCTTTTATCTGCTCACGTTAGTTTTGGTTCAGGGGAGTTACTAGTTTTGTCAATGAACAGTTTTACTGTGCAACAGTCTTCTTTATTTCAGTGTATGGCAATGATATAATGCCTGTAAAATTTAATGAATACATACGTAGGTTACAAGTAATTGGTTATAAATTTTTAGGAAACATTACTTGTTTATTAAGAACTAAAACTGAGGTTAGGCTTACTGTTTTAGTGAAAAATGCATAGTCGAATAGGTAGCCTAAAAATTCCCGATCGAAGCTGCTACCTTGACGCGGTGGTCGGGCTTGCCTATCGTAATGACCCAACCGAGCTATATTGGCTGGAACATGTTTCCTGTAGGTTCTACCATGCCAGGTAGGTCGACTGGAGAGCGGTAGGACTAAAAGCAGCAACTCAAGGTCTGATGGCAAAGTCTTACTGCTGACTGTAGAGGGGTGTGACAGCAGTAAGTTGTTTCCCTCAGACAATCAGCATCTGCAGCGATGCTGCCTTCCCACAAGAAGGGGTGGGGTTAGAAAAGGTCAACCCTAAAAATTTCACACCTCACCTTACCTCACGGATTTCCTTCTCCGGCGGTAAGGCCCTTTGAAAAACGGAGCTAACACATTGAAAACCTTCCACGAAAAGGCCGTGCGCGACCGGCCTCAAGCAGTTGTCCCTTGGGCTCTGCGGTCACGCTCCCAGGTCGTTAAGACCAACACTAATCCAATTTCCTTTTCACGTTCCTCAAGAAATACCCTTCCACGGTGTGGGCAGCCGGGAAGTGATATCAGCCCTAATACCCGTAACAGCACACGAGACCAAGTTGGTCACATTCAAATCCTTTCTATACCTCCTAATACCTCACTTATCTCCATGACTGAGCCTAAAAATCATTATCGATTGAATGCCTAGTTACTGGTTAACACAACATACAATCCTCTCTGAAATGAGAATATTTTTTAACGAAAATTAGGGGTAGTCAAACTAAGAGATAGATTTATCCCATGTGGAATTTCTTAGTAGGATCTACAAAACAATTATTGCCTATATTTAATGATATTCTATGATATGACCGGAAATCTTCACTTATTTTGTTTCGTTTTCCTGGATACCTGATATCATTTTCATACCTCTTTTTCTTATATTGTATATTATATCATTCTGTAATGTTGCAAGTTATTACAACATAGACCAGTTCACATTTGCCATGGGCGCCATGTTGCATTTAATTGTACTACTTTCAAATAGATCACTGTTGTATTGTGATATTGTGAGAAATCGTAACTTGAACAGTAGAACACTGAACACTTATCATCGATTAACTGATGTTATCTATCTATCTCCTACTCACCACATTAATTATTAATAAATAGTAATCATTGTTACCGGAGTTTGATTACGACTTGACGTGTTTGTCAGTCGGTCAGTCAGTAACAACGTAGAACTTCGTACGTACGTACATCAGTTCAAGTTGCCATACCACATTAGAATACAGATGGAATTGTCAATTTCAATCCCATAGTGGTTGACGTGTTTGTGCATGTGTGTGTGTGCGTGTATGTATTGACACGTTTCCTATCAAGGAATGGAACTTTTTTTATATTTGATAACATTGAATGGTCTCATATCTAAAATGTTTATATTTTATCGTTTTGATTCTAGTCAAATTTTTGCATTATATCATCATGACAAAGAAGAAACTATCCGAAAAATACAAACAGAAACTATCAAAACATCCTATACCTAAATCAAATAATCCACAAGGAATAACTGTTGTTAGTGAATTTGTTCGACAATTTGTTCGACGTCATGTTAATGAAAATCAACGTAATCAATCTGATTTATATTGGCGTCCAGGTTCTAATATTAGTCATAATATAAATTTATTACCACAATCAACAAAAATTCATCGATTAAAACAGAAACAAACGTCTATGACAAATGATAACCCTATCAAAATAAATCATTCTAATATAAAGAAAAAATCTTTCAATAAATCAATAATCAATCAAAAACCATCGATTATATCAATGAATTTATCTAATCAATTACATAATTTATGGAATGGTTATTTTCAATCTGTTATGTCTATTCTTCCTACTAAATTAAATGATCATAATTGTAGTAATTTTAATTTAACAAAAAATTTAGATACAATATTACGTTTGAATTTAATTGGTGCTCAACTTAAAATTCTACGTTCCACATCATGTCGAGTAAGTAGAAGTTGTTGTTGTTGTTGATTGTGTCATGATATGATTTCTTATCATAGGCTGATATCAGTTGATGATCTATGAAGACTAGAAAAGTTTTTTTTTCTGATGGAGTTTTGTTCTTTGAGATGGATGATTTAGTTGTGCAGCTTTCATTGTTCTTCTGAACAACAACAACATCATCATCACAAACTTCAGGTAGAAGTGAAGTGTACATAAACCAATCGGAGATAAAACCAAAACAAAGAAGTAAACAATGACAAATGCTAAAGGTCAACAAGAACCAATCAATATCGAGGTGTACAGGACAAGCTGTGAATCATATGTGGAGAAATTTGAACACTACACTTCTAGCTGAAGTTTGTAGTGATGTTGTCGTTCAGAAGAATGGTGAAAGCTCCACAACCAAACCATCCAGCTTAGAGAACAAAATTCCATCAAAATCATCCACCTGAGCAACAAATCTTCTTCACCATCTCAGAAAGATGTTTCATCAGTCATTTATTGAAAATGTATACCTAAGCAGAAATATGTTTCCATCCAAGTTGTAATATCCTACAATGGCTAAAGTGGGGGGTGTTGACAGGATGGGGATAGGAAAGAAGTCGAGATGAGGATGTCAATGATAGTTGCAGATTAAATTTTAAAAATATGTGCTCGAAGTGAACTGATGTAATCAGTGAATGAAGAAGTATAAATTAATACTAAGTTAAAGATTAAAATAGAGCATTGATTATTTAGAAACATATCAGCTGTGTGTATTTAGGATCTCTTACACGATTAACCGCATAATTGTTTATGTTTGTGGCAAACACTATGGTATTCATCCTCTCTGTCGGAAGATCATCCATTATCAGTTTTCAGTAATCATCGCAAGTTACAGCATCTGTTATTAAAATATTGAGGAGCCCATCTAGATCATCGACAATTTAGAATATAAACAGTCTATAAATGTATCTTATTGAATATATTTTAAATGATGGATAACGATGTAACTGAGGATGCATCTTTCATCCTGTTTAGAACTCATCAGTCTAACATACTTACATCCCAGTGATGATTTTCACACTGAGATTAGAACTCATTGCCCATCTCTAATCCGTTTAATCATAATTTTCTCTTCTTGATTAATAAAATATTTGTTAGATTAAATGGTGAAACTATGCTGTACTGACGAACTGATCAGATTTAAGATAGCACCTACAGTTTTTGCACATAGTGATAGTTATCTTGTGTGTTATTCAAAGCCAATTAAAAAATATTTGCATTTAATTCCAAGGATGCTGATAAGTTGATAAACATATTTGTTATACAACCAATGCAGTGTGATGCATAAGCTAAATTATAAGAAAAACCGACTAGCAATACAAGTAGATCTGAAACGTTGTAGATACTTGTTAAACGCACTTGATATGATTCAGAGTATACTCAAGGGTGTTTATATGAATGGAAAGTATTATCCCAACTTCATAACCGTCACTTCTCACTTTGATCTTGACTTCAAATTCCTAATCCTGATCCTCTTTCACTTATTTTAAAAGTAATTCAACTTATGAACATTCTATTGTAAGTTACTTTCATGATTAAGTATTGCTTTCCGATTGGATATTGTGACTAAGTACTGTATTCTGACTGGCGAATAAGTTGCTAAGGGTTGTCAATATAAGATAGTTTTGCTTGTTTAAGCAATTAAAAGTCTCAGGTGAAACTTGAATTTATAGACAACCTTTGAACAACTCTAAAAAGACCTTGAAAATGTCTATCTACATACTACGACTAAATAAGGGTTATAAAACAGTGTCAGTCAGTCAGTAACAACGTAGAACTTCGTACGTACGTACATCAGTTCGAGTTGCCACACCACGTTAGCACAGAGATGCAGTGGTTGAGGAATTAGGATTAATATTTACAGTTGATAGTTAGGTTTAGGCATTAGATATTACGGTTTTCATCACGAACTGACATCAGCTATAATGCTAAAATGAGTGTGTTACATCTTGAATGTTGATTTCTTGATATACCGCGTATAACAGAACACTAGAACACCAAAACCCTTCCAAGTCGCAATAAGAAGACGGAAGAATAATGAAAAGAATATTATTCCTAACAGTGTCAATTACAGTACAAAATTGTCAGGTATTTATAGTTTTTAGTAAGAACGAAATCATCATTACAGTCCTCCAGTCCTCATACAGGGGGCTATTAGCATTGTCCAGTCGGGAAGCTACACGTAGGAATTCTAGAATCTTCTTCCGAAAGGTGATTGGATGGAATATCTTCGGCTCCTTCTGAGCCTCTTACAGCTTCCTCGAGTTCACACGTGGTCCGTCGTCACAGAGTGAATGAATCTCTGGCCAAAATCTAAAACCTGCTGTCTTAAATCTGATTGGTTGGTCCATAAACTCTAGTCTTGCCAAAGTTTCAATAAGTACTCTTTACCTTTTATATTTATTTTATTTATTTATTTCAACACATAGATATTGGTACAAAGGCACCAAATACATATGCGCCACACAAATCTCATTCGATATGTGTGAGGGCTGTGATACTGCCCGGGTGCCCAAACCGAAGCAGGTGGTTTTCTTAGGAGGCCACTCCCCGAGCCTTCGACCTGAAGGTCTGATCCATAAGACAGTGGAGCATCGTAAGGAGATGCAGTCCCATGGAAGCCAGTGACCAACGATTGGTTCATACGCCATTTGTTTATTGAGGATACTGGAGCCCATGTGCACCATTGGTTTGGGATCCGGTCAAAGCGCCGGACATTCGCTTTTCGTCCTCTCATTTTCGTAAACAACACCCCCGTGGTGTGAGAGAGCAGTGAGTATGACTTCCTTGGCAGAGGCTATATACGCGTGGCCATGTGAGAGCATTTGGAGAGGGAGAGCGGACTCTTCCCACTCTCGGCCATACCAGGGCATTTGAGGGCACCTTTTATATATTCATCGTTCAATTTCTTTTTTATTTATTTACATTTTAGGCTGGTATAGAAGGTATTGTAGTAATGGAAACAAAGAATACATTTTGTTTAGCAATAAATTCATTACATAATGAATTATCAAGTGAATCATTAGTAACTCTTACTACTGTTCCAAAATTAGGTTCATTATTTTCACTCACTTTACCTCATATTGTTAATAAATCAAATAATAATCATAATAAACATCAAAAAATTGAAATTTTACTTAATGGTGATCATTTAACACATCGAGCAGTTGATCGAGCTATACGTAAATGGAGATATATACCAACAACAGCATATGAATATAATCAAAATGCATTAACAACTGAAGCTATTTTATCAAATGTACTCATTGATAATGTAATAAATAGATGATTATTTGAATTGTTTTGAATTTATATACAGATAATTTGTTGTAGTTGCTTTTCAGTTTGGACTTTTTTTTGTAAGTGACTCAAGAAGTGATTACGTTGTCAGTGAGAGAGAGAGAGAGAGAGAAAGTGTGTGTGTATGTGACGATAACTTCAAATTTTTAAGGTAATTATGGTTGCATCCGTTACTTATTTACTGACGTCTGTTACTCCTCGTAGATTAGCATAGGCCGCCCACCAGCACTATCCATTCAACCATGTCCTGGGTAATCCTTCCCAGCTCTTTCTAGTTGTTATTCATCCTTTTCACATGTGCTTCCATTTCCCGACGTAGTGTGTTCTTTGGTGTTCCTCATTTCCTCTTCCCTTCAGGATTCCAAGTTAAGACTTGCGTTGTGATGCAGTTTAGTGATTTCCGTAATGTATGTCCTATCCAATTCCAACGTCTTTTCCTAGTTTCCTCTTCATATAGAAGTTGGTTTATTCTCTCTTACAGAAGGCTGTTGCTGATGGTATTCAGTCAACGGAAACTGAATATCTTACGTAAACAACTGTTTATAAATACTTGTACTATTTTGATGATGATTGTAGTAGCTCTCTGTTATATTTGGTCGTCGCTGATTGTTATGCCGGAAAAAGCCGCTGACCACTTATACTAGGAACGAGGGACCTTGACAATACACACGATGCGAAAGTAAGAACACACAAGACTGGTATAAGTGAAGATTTATTAGCCCAAACACTACGACGACGACGACAACTCTAGTCGAAACTACACTCATTTATATATTGATTGTACACCCATTTTTGATTAATAATTAGGATTAAATCACATACTAAGCATAGTTCATGTCAATGGAATACAAGAATATCGTATATTATACAGAAGAAAATATTATACTGGGAAAACAAATCGAATACTACACTGAAGGATCCTCACGTTGAATCAAAACGGATGTAACAATGAATAAAACTCATAATGAGTAATTCAATCGAGGAATTGACTTTTCTTTCCATCATATCAAGCAATAATTAATCTACTGGGTAGAACTCAAGAATTGTAAAACGTATAATAATAGTTTATGGGTTAAAATGAAGCTTATAATAAGATGAATATGAATATGCATAGCTTATTTACTTAATAATTGTTCAATAGAAATATACGTTGAGTATTGGTCCATAAATGAATCCCCAAGTTACCATTCATTATGTTTATCGGGTCGTAACATTTTCAAAAAGCATTATTATGCAACTGAATACAATGGTCTTGTGTATGTTTCATTGATTGTGAGGACTTGACAGAAAATCAACTATAGTTGCTAATACCTTGAGATGGTGGTCGGTATTGCCTATTGTGATGACTAAATCGAGCCATTTCAGTATAAATACTTTTGTCTATACATCTTACAATGTTAAGCAGATCGGTTGAAGAGCGATATCATATTGTCCAGTATATGGGGATTTTCAGTTCTGCTTTGTTGTCCCTCTCTAAGGACAATAAGACCACAACTGATCCAGTTTCCTTTTTAGGTGTTACCATTAAATCACAAGTATTTAATTGATGATAGATAGTGACTAATAGTGGAATCCAGAGCAGGCGTTTCGTGCTGTTTAAGGCTCATCAATTCGCTGTCCCTATAACTTAATGTTAGTGTTTACTCTGAGAATGGAATCCAGTCTCTTTTGAGGCAGTCCACCTAGGGCATACATGTCACAGAAAAGATTGATCGGGATGTAAACAATAACAAGAACGAAGAGATTCAAATAAATCGTAAAATTCATCACTGTTGCACCAATGATTGTATTTCTAAAATTAGTAGCTCAATGGATAAGGTATTAGGGTGTTTGAAACGAAAGTTTCTGGATTCTAATCCTAGTGTGAACATGAACTCTATGACGCAGGTAAATTGAACTGATGAGCCCCATTTGGGATGAAACGCGCATCCTAGTTTCTACTGTTGGATACTATTCACTTTAACTAAAAAAATACTTATGGTTTTTGAGCCTATATAAATAAATTTAGAAAAGAAAACTATATTTTATACGAAAGAACATTCACAATCTTCTAATTTGACCTAAAATAGTGTATTGATTTTAATACTGACTTGACTGTTTTGTTATGTAATGTTACCATAAAAGCATTGGTAGTTTTTCGAACTATGTACCTAATGTAATTGGAGCTTTTTTAAAAAAAATAAGGTTATATTGGATCAATTAACTAACAAGTTAATGATCTCGTCAATGATGAACTTGTAGTGACCTACTTTTATCAAGAGAACACGATTGGTTTAGTTGAAACAATTGTTATTATAACCAATTGTACCAGTGATTGTTTTACTGTACTAAAGACATTCTTCCTTCCGTTGATTGTGAATTCGGTTACGCTCAGTAACCACACTTGTAACCTGGCACGATCTCGATATCCTTTCGATACCACGAGATCGCCAACAAATACATCTCGACTACAGCCATCAACTGCCTTCTGATATTTGGCTTACGGTGGATCTTATCGGTTAACTGGTACGTAGTCTTGCTGTAGTGGTGATCATAGTCAACCGTGACTTGACGCCATACTACAAACTTAAGATGAATAACGTTAGTTATATTATGTAATCTGAAGACTATATAAGGTAGAAAAATGATTTTATTTCTCTTGATAATGTAATAGCATAATTTTTTTCAGTTCATCTATGAAGTTTCATAAAAGATTTTGCTTGATTATTTGAAGTTTTGACTTTCCTTTTCTTTCTACAGTTTTTTTTGATAGATGAACTATAATAAAATAACTATGTTTCATTCTAGATTAAAAAGCGTTTATGATTGATAAAATAGCTTTGTTTAGTCCATAAGTCAGTGAAGCAACTTTAGAAGATACAGTCCCATGGTAGACGGTGACCAACAATAGATTCATATGTCATTTGTTCCCGCAGGATACTGGAGCCCGTGTGCACCATTGGTTTGGAATGAGGGTTTTCCAACTCCCCTAGATGGATCCTCCGTAACTACTAACCCGGTTAAAGCATTGGACATTCGCTTTTCGTCCTCTCAATTTCATAAACAACACCCGTAGTGCTAGAAGGCAGTGAGTAGGACTTGCGTGGCTGTGGCTGTCAGTCAGTCATCTACAACGTAGGACCAGGCATATATATGCATCGGTCCAAGTTGCCATACCGCATTACTACAGCAAGATGAACACCGGATTCATAGAAGTGGTTAATTCAGAGGTGGTAATATATAAAAGAAAGATTGTGTATAAGGATATAATACAAGAAAAAGAATTAGTTGGTAGAAAGAAAGATATAAAGTAATTTTAATCTCATAGTTTAAAGGAGGACAGAAAGTGTATACACGTGCGCCATTGTGATCGATTCTGAGCCATGTCACCAAGAGTCTACAACCATTGGTTACGATAGTTGCACGGACTCCAACCAAGTAATCTGCATCTACCGACATGGATCAGACTAGAAGTTAGTGACTTCAAGCACTGATGTCACGTTTTGGCTTGGTCGCCTCCAACTTTCTTCCAACCATCCCTACACTAGTCAGCATTGTGCGTCGTGGCAATCCGTGTTCAGGCATACGCAACACGTGGCCCAACCATCTCAGTCGATGAAGATTCACAACCTCATCAACTGATTTACCATCATTCCCTAATACCCTGCATCTAACCTCACTATTACTTACCCGGTGATCCCAGCAGATACGAGTAATATTTCTAAGGCATCTGTGGTCAAATACTAGTAGCTTACGAGTATCTTCAACTCGTAATGGCCACGTTTTGCTGCCATAAATTAAAACAGAACGAACTGCCGCGCAGTATACTCGTCTCTTAATTAATAGACGGATATCTCGTCTTCGCCATAGGTGACGTAAGTTGGCAAAAGCTGAACGAGATTTTCAAATCGGTGTTAAGATTTCGTCAGACACCAACCCATTATGGCTGGTCAGAATTCCAGGATAAGTGAAGTTGTCAACGCGTTCGACTACTTCACTCTCTATCCTTAGTTCAGGTATTGACACATTCCAGTCCTGCATTTAGAGGGAGAGAAACGCATTCTAAACATTCTGGCATTGTTGCTTAGTGCTACTAGAAGACTTTGCATATTCTCAGTCTTCACCAAACAAGACTATGTCATCTGCGTATTCTAAGTCGATAAGTAGACCTCCTGGAAGGAGACCAATGCCCGAGAATTCAGTCGACGAGAGCGTTATTTCCATTAGTGTGTCTATGATGAAGTTAAACAAAAATGGAGAAAGTGGACAGCCTTGTCGGACACCACTTGGGGTTGCAAAACCAAATGACAGTTCGCAATAATCTGTGGCTGTATATGCGTGTCCATGTGAGGGCATTTGGGGGCAATAAATTTGTCAATTTTGTTACTGAATTTATACGTACATTTATATTGTTACATGTACTGTAATATGTTTCTATACCTATTTATCTAATTAGCATTACACAGTCCATTTACTGAGAGAGTGTTATCTGTTCGTAAGTTTAATTGTTTTTTACACAAATTTGAGTGCATTCTATGTAGTGTCTATGACCGAAATACATTACACATGTCGATAATCAATGCTCAGCCTTAAGCTTCCGTTCTTCTTTATTACTAACATAATTAGGCTGCATAAGATGATATGGACAAGGTGATTATATTACGTGCTAACATAACTTGTATCATATCATTAAGAGCTTCGTTATACTGTACTGACGAGGAGGTTGGCTATATGCTTTTGCATCTCCATTGTTGATCTGATGAACCACAGCTTTCATGTGTCCGATAACTTTTGACTCCCAGACAAATACATCATAAAACCTTTTGAACGTTCTTTTCAACAATTTCACATACTCTGAAGGGCAGTTCGCAAGTGAGGGCGACATATCATGTCTCCATTTGACCAGCTTTAATCGTTATTTTAAAACTGGGAGTGTCTTTCTCATTGCAACCATCCATTTTCCGAACTGAATTCCGAACAGTAAATTTATTTCCTCTTAAGTTTAGATATCCTTCACATTTTGTTAACAAGTCCTTCAGTACCATCGGTATGTAACTAAATCAT